TTTCTGTTTCAAAGCTGTCTTTCACTCATCAGTTGTTGCTTTCCTCCCACACCTGGGGAGGAAATGCAGCACAATAATGCCTTAATTACGCCTGCAGCGGTCTGTGGGCTTGCTATGCTTTGAGCAGAAGGCATGCTGCAGATGCTGGGAGGACACAATGCCTAAGCTACATCTTAATTTTCTTACTTTTTCATTTCTTCTTATTTTCTTACTTTTTTAGCTTCTCACCTATTTAGTTTTCTATCCATAATGTGGATTGTATCAAACTACCAATTCCTTAAATGGTATTTCTGAAGCTGGGGTATTGGTTACCTTAAGGGATTTTAACCCCCTTTGAAGCTTTTAACCATATAGGATCAGATATAGATTAATAAGCTAGGAGAAGGAACATTTGCTGCCTTTAAGTCAGTCTAAACTTATTTCCCCCCTTGTATTACAGTTGTACATGGAGGGGGAAAGTGCCACTACCACTTGCACTACCCTTGAACCAGTACCACAACTCCTATCTTCTTTAGGGCTGAAACCTAAGCTTTAACTGCCAAATCCCATGCAAACATTTGTTTTTTTTTTTGGTTTGGGTGGTTTTCTGATTATTTTTATATATATATATTATTATTTTTTTTTTGGCTTGCAAAGCTTTCAGAAAACACTTTGGGGATTTTTTTTCTGTTTATTCTTCATAAGCAGAGCACAGATGTTTCCCAGGTCTGTCAATAATTCTCAGGTTCCTCTTCCACATCTCTATCAGCCCCATCTCAGCTTCTTCCAGGATGACTTGTATCTTTGCATCTAGATTAAAAAAAAAACATTTTCAGCCACAGTAGATGACAAAATGCATTGCCTTGAGTAGCTGCATCTCATAAATTCATGGCGCAATCATTTTTTTCTGAGAACTATTGCACAGTTAAAAACAGAAAAAGCAACCTGGTTTGTGGTCAAGACAGTGATGTGAGTTCTACTCAACTGAATAATGGTGTCAGGGTGCAAAGATCAGCCATGGTGATTCCTGTTTCTTTCTTTCTTTCTAACTGGAAAGAGAACTAATGTCTGGAAGAAGCACCAAACAATCACTGTATCCAGGATTTCAAGTTAGCTCTATTAACTTGTATTTATTAGGTTGCCACAGAGCGCAAGACACTGGGCTTCATCAAAGCAGTATCCTGCCTTTTGTCAGTGGGCTCAGCAGATGCTTCAGAGGAAGGAGAGATGCCTTCCACAGCGTGTAGCAGTGAGATTGCATGCCTCAGTGAGGAGGGAAATTGCAGTGAGAGCACACGAGGGCTATTGCGAGGGCTGAGCAGTGTTTAAGCCCCACTACTCCCTGCAGCCGTGCTGTGGCTGGTGCATGTTGTGACAGCTCAGGCAAGCAAGACGTTCCTGGGCCCTGAATGGTGGGAGAAGTATAGGAAACAGAAAGGGATAAGCATTTCTTGAGCAGTCCATGGACCAGCTTGCAGGAGGAGGAAGGGAGAGTGACCACATACAGACTGACACAGACACCTTTGAACTGTAGACAAGGCACTGCAGAGCAGTCAGCAACAGGACTGATTTCACGTGAAGTCAGGCTAGGTCTACAAGCAGGAAACATTTGTTATTTACTGGCAGGATGGTTTCTTGTTAAAGCTGGCAAAAGGAAGGAGTCCTGTTTTCATGGGAAGTGAATGAGCAAAGGCAACAAAACATATTTTTGCTTTCTAAACTGTATTTTAAAGCCATTGCAGAAGTGAGAAGAGCTCTGCAGCCGAGGGAGCTCATTGTTTTTCTGCTCTCAATCAATGGTCTCCATTTAAACATGACTGTTTTCACATTAAGGTGTGAACTCATCACACATAGCTTAGCAGCCTCTTCTATTACAGCTGTATTTTAAAAGTTACGCATTTAAGCCCAAAACTCAGCTACCTTTCATCTCATACCTACTTCTTCACACCAGGCTATATATAATTTTCACCTGAAACTGTCCCAGAGCAGTTCATGGCTGCTTTCTGCTTGTATGTGTTGGGGCTAGATCCACGGCATCTGTGTATCTTTGAGCAACAAGCAGCCCCATGCCTGATGTTTGGATGCTGTGGTGGGTTATATGCAGCTCACTGGTTTCTGCTCCAGCCATGGGGGAGGCAGCCTCCTCCAGAGAGTAGGTGCTGCAAGCAGGGAGCTCAGAGAGGAAGCTGAGCCGATGAGGTTTCCCTCCCTCTTTTGGCTCAGTGAGTCTTGAATTCTTGGCTGCACAAGCGGAAGAGCTGAGAAAGGAAGGGTGGAAAGGTGCCCGTCCTTCTCACAAGTGCGTTAGCTAACTGACAGCACTTGAGTGCTGGAAGTCTCCCTTGAGGTGTGTGATGTGGTGGGAACCCACGTTGAACATCAGCACTGAGCCAAGCAGAGCCTCCAGCCACATGGAAATGAGAGGGGGCAGGAGCAGCACTACAACTGCCAGACGTTTGGTTTCTGTTTCTTTATCTTACACACCACTGCATTTTGTGAGGAGCCTGATCCTGTCACTGCAAGTGTACCTTGAGCGCAGGGACTGCGCGCTATGAGTTGTCCCAGGGGCTTGAAGGAAGAGCTCTTCCCTGTATCCTTGCCAGAGGCAGGGTTTCGGTGTCGAATGTCTCTGGACAGCACAGCTCTGGGCATGTGGCACAACTCCAGGCACCTTCTGTAGCACAATAGGAACATAAAGTGTCTAAAGCGCTTGGGCACATCAGGGCAGTGCCGGCTGCCTGTGCCTGCAGTTTTGGTACCTCTGTCTTACCAAAACCACTTTTGAGAACCCCATCCTCTGTTCAGCCTCAGCTTGCACGTTTGGGAGTGTGCTTGCTGATGGGAAGCTGATCACTAGGGAAGACAATCAGAAGATTTCCCTATGTAGGTCACCAAAGAAAGCTTTGAGGGAAAAAATGCTTCTCTTCAGCCTGTTGACACCACGAGAGTAAACTTGATCAAAAGGCTGCTAATACTGGAACACTGGCATGACACTCAGCATTGACCTGGCTGAATTCACTGAGAGTCATGAAACTGTCACATTCCTTCATGAAATTGTCACGGAGAGTGGCATGCTTGGGAATTGTCTGTCCTTTTGTATAAATCTGTCCTGTACTTCCCTGCTTGTCCTGATCTGTCTGACTGAAGCATGACTGTCCCAGCCAGAATCCAAACCAGCTCTGGCCTGTTGGATAACCCCATGGTGCACAAATCCCCACGTCTCCCTGTGCTGCAGAGTGCTATACCCTCAGACCATTTAGCTCCAGCACTGAGCAGTGTGGCTGTAACAGCACAGTTCCTTGCATGAGCTGTCTGGATATTTATACAGCTTTGTGGGCAGGCTTCATAGCACGCTCTGGTTCATGCAGCTGTGGCTAAACTGTTATTAGCTCCCCAGGCAGCAGCTCCGAATGCCCCTGAGCTATTAGATGAAGTGTAGACGAATGTTGGTGGCTTTATATAATTTCCCTGATTAATTATCAGAGCCCCTCATGGCCTTTGATGTGTTCAGCCTACCAGAAAAGGCAGTGGCATTAGCTCCATTTCACAGAGAGAACCAAGAAACAGCAAGAGATGAGGCAAAAAGCTTCTGATTTCTCATGTTGGTCTTGGTCCCTTTATCCACAGCCCTTTGTGTCAGTGCTTATTTGGCTCTGCCTTTACCGGTGGCTGCCTTAAGGAGAGATCTCCCCGTGCAGAGGTTCATTCACACCGCAGCTCTGCTGATGGACGCAGCCATGCCAAACCAGCTGGCCAGCCCACAGCCCTCCAAAAAGATCCTCACAGGTTTTAGAGCCTTTTAGCCTTCCTAAAGCCCACAAGGTGTGCAGCAGGCCACAGCAGTCCCAAATCACCCCCTTCTGAAACAGCAGCTCCTTCTTATTCCTCTCACTGTTGCACCTAGAGATGGAGGCAGCTGCTGTGCCATTAGCACACACACCTCGCACTGCAGGATGGATAGCTCTCCTTATTTCTGTGCTTGCTAACCCAATCTTGACCATCACTGGGGCTGCCTTCCAGGTCGTGCCACCCTTTCCATTTACTTGCTGGTGTGTCACTCTGTCTAGATCTATTTTCTAAGCAGTTCTGGAAAAGACTGTGGAAGGGGTAACTCAGGTGAAGGCAGATGGGTACGGAGTTGCAACAAGAGGTCTGGGTACAATGCAGCAGGGAGCTATTCCTGTTTGCTGTGCATTGCCTGACAGCTCTGTTGGTTTTGCCGCATCAGCAAGGCTGCTCCCATCCCCTAGAGACTGACATTTGGACAGTCCACATAAGAGAGACCTGCGGATGAGGTGAATGAAAGACTTGGATTGGGAACCACTGGAGAATCTCAGGAGCTGCTCATAGCCCAGCCCAGTGCAGAGCAAGGTGGCAGAGAGGAAGCAGGGCAGCCAGGTGAACCACAGACAGACAACTTGCATGTGCCTGTGCCTCACACAGACCTCACAGCTCTTTCAGAAGCTGTTTGGGCTTTGGCCCTTGGCTCTCGCCTCTGCCAAAGCCATGGCTGATGGCTTCTGTGATGGAAATTGATGCTCCTTGCAGCCTTCACAGGGTCATCCCGTGAAGCCATGTGGCAGGGCTGACAACAGCATGCATGTAAGCATGATGCAGGGCAGGAGGGATGGGAGGTGAAGACCATCACCAGGCACATCCTGTCTTTGTGTTCAGAGGAAGCCGGTAGAGATCTGCTGAGAAGGGCAGTCCTGGATTCACAAGAGCGCATTCCCACACTGCATTCGGCAGTTACAGTGGTGGCGAAGAGAGGAAAGAGGCCTTTGCTGTGCAGACGGGGCTTTGGTTTACTGGAAAAGGAAGAAGGTTTTTTAGGGGGCCACTACAGGAAGCTTGTGTGAGCTACTCAGTATCTTATTGTAGAAGTCTGGAAGGCTGCAGGACTGTACAGACAACAGTGTCACAGCAGTGATGTTTGCCAGCTGCTGCACCCACTTACTAAATCTTTCCTAGTCAATACCCTTAGTGGCCCTGAGCAGTCTCAGACCTGCAAATGGCTCTATTTAAGCTCAGGCTTGGGCTCTCAATACCTTTCTCACCTTGGTGTGGGCATAGCTATCTCTGGGCTTGCCTCTGGGATGGACCTCAGCAGTACAGGTAATTTGTCTCTGGAGATGCACACTGCAGTTTGCTTGCAGCCTGGCTGTGGATGGGGAGGTTTTGAAGTCTTCTTGTAGCCTGGTCTCCATCCCTGGCTCTGCTTCCCTTTTTCTTTGTTTGGAATAACTAAATGGACACTGGACCTTGCTATGTGTGTGCCCTGGATGGGACTGTTAATGGGGCTTCCTTGGGCAGGGGTTGCATCTGCTGGATGAGGGCACTGGGATCCCAGCACTGCCTGTGCTGGGATCACCCTTGGCTCCCAGGTTCCCTGCCTTTAGGGAGCAGCCACCCTCATGCTCCCTGATGGTCTCTTGTCAATATGATGTTGTGCATAATGTCCTAAGAATGCCTGAATAGCAGATAGCTGGACCAAATAAAGGACTTGTAGGTTTCAGGGTCAGTGTCAGGGTAGCCAATTTTAGGTTTTGGAGTGGGTGCAGAACTCAATAAGGTGTTGGTGCTTCTTTTATTTTCCCAGGGAAAAATAAATCATCTTGAAATGGGATCTGGAGGAGCCAGGGTTACGTGCAGGAAACAGCCTGAGCTGAGCTCGCAAGGAGCAGTGAGCCCACGGACTATTTTTACTTCCATATTTTAAAGAAGATGCTGCCTGTAATGGAGATCTGTTAGCTTTTGCTATCCAGAGGGTATCAATGGAGGATATCTGTTATGTTCAGCCCCTTCAGAGATTCTGTAAGGATCTGGTTGGGACACAAACAAGCACTGCGCTGTGAGCCGCTCATGCTGGGCTCCTCCTTAGTTACCAAGAAGAAATGGGCATGGTTAGGGTGTGATTGTTTTAGATACTTCTTCTGGGAGAAGCTAAACTTTCCTATTGTGTCTATTTTTCTCCAGTGACTAAACGGAAGTCAAGATGATGAATTAGCACCTAAGCTTATGCAAGTTGTGACCCATGTGGGGTGTCTGGAGCCATGAAAAGGCTGAGATCAGATATGCCTACAGAGCTCAGGCGGAAGCACGAGAAAGTGCAGGATGTCAGCTTGGGATGTAAGTGCTTGAATTTCACTTAAATGAGCTGTCAAAATCCTTGTTGGATCTTGCCTGGCACACCTGGCAGAAAGGTCAAAGCAGGAGCTGGGCCCCTTCTCCTTCAACCCAGAGCCCTTCCAACTGCTCAATTGCTTTTTCTTCCTCTTATGACTATGAAACCACTGGCAATGGGGCCACGTAGTTCCCCCCTTCTTTCCTGCCAGCCTCTCCAGCCCATTTCTTGCTCCCTGGCAGACATGGCTGTGGAGTTAATTTCAATTTCAGGCAATTGTATTTACAGGGTAAATGATTTTATAACTATTTCTTATTAGCTTCTTGGGCTTACTTGCTATTTTAAGCTTATTTTTCAGCTTCAAGCTCTAGCAAAATGGACTTTCCCTTGCTGAAAATGTGCAGTCAGAGCAGGAAGGAACTTGACTTTGTGAAGATTTATGTCCCTTTTAAGCTAATTATGTGCCTGTTTATAACAATAAGCTTCAGTTCCACTTTGGTTAGTAAAATTTCTCTAAGCAGTTATTTGCCCCAGGCTATAAAGTATCTCCTACTGAAACTCAATGAAATGAAGGAATTCATACATATAAAACTTTGTGCTGTTAAAATCTGGACCCTGTCTTGAATTTTTAGTGCAGAAGTCTCAGGATGTGGAGTTGGAAATACATTGTATGTGCACCAGTGTAAGAAACTGTTAATTTCTGAAAAGCACTTAAGGTTATTTAAAATGAGATTTAAATGTTTTCTGGCCATAATGAAAATGGACAAAAATCCCTTCTGTAGGTGCAGGGAGAGCAGAAGATCATTTTGCTGTTCTTGACAAAATCTGACATGAGGAAAAGATGTTTCTTTGAGACAAAGAACCTCATGAAATTTTGATACAAAGCACTTTTCCTCTGACAAAAGTTTCCGTCAAACCAAACCTTATTTTTGCAGTAAAGACATACCCAAATGTTTTAAGCGAGGATTCACTTCTGCAAGCACTTCATCTTCCTGTTGTTCCATTCTCCCCTTCTTTCTTTCTCTGTGTGGCTGCTGGGTTTTTTTTCTTTCATTAAAAATAAAGCTAGATGGGCAGCAACAACGAGCTCTCTACTGTTGCTGGCACAGCACCTCCTTGCTGCTCCAGGGTGTCCCTGGGGATGCCTCACAGGACAGAGTGGCCAAGCAGGGCTGACAAGTACCGTTAGCTTTGGAAATAGAGGACATGACGGCAGAGTTGCTGTCCTTCTTCCTGCACATCCAGGGGCAGGACATCATTTCAGGAGGCTTGGCCCTCAGGTACCTCTTGGTCTTGGGGGCTGTGACCCCATTAGGACCTTGTGGACTTGCAGGGTATGTGAGGGAACCCACAGGCTGCTGCTGCACAGGGTGGGTGCTGTGGCAAGCACTTGTTCCTTGTCAGATCTCGTCTGTTCACGCAAGCACAACAGCCCTGTGCATCACGTCTGCCCTACATTCTCCCTTTGTGCAACTCTCCTGACAATAAACAAACATCATCTGCTTTTCTGCTTTCCTTCTCTCACTCAGGTTCCCTACAACCCTCGTAAAACCCCTTCTCTGTTCCCATGTCTTTCTCACCAGTACTTGTGTCTCCTCATCAGTTCTGGACACCTTTTTCTTAAGCAGGCACATCCACCTTCTTTATCTTTACACTTCCCACGCTTGTTTCCACTACTATTTCACACAACCTCGCTCTTATTTAATTCATTTCCTGCATAGTTTTCTTTACCTCTCTCCTAACTTTTCCATCTCTGAAATTTTTGCGTCTAGAAGAGTCTTCATCCCTCACAGCCTATTCAGATGTCAGTGTCCTCCAGGCTCTGGAGGACTGTTCCTGCCTTTGGCTATGTCCATTTCCACATCCTTTGCTTTTACATCACATACCTCTGCACCCCACGCCTTTTCTCCCCTTCTCCACCCCTGGTGGTTGATGAGGATCTTCTCCAGGGTCAGCTCATCTTTCTTTGTCTTCTCTTTGCAGTCTCCTCCTCTTGCCTGCCATGACCTCAATGATTCATCTTGCACTTCTGCTTCTTCCTTATGTTGCATGGTCCATCCAACCTGACAATTTCAGGCTCTGCCTTTCCTCCCATGCCCTTTTTTCTGGCTACTTGTATATTTCACTTCTCCAATGCACATCTGATTTATTTTTTTTCTCAGAAATGCTGGTGTTGTATTTACCAATTCTCCTTCTCTGGGCTAATACAGATCCATGGTTCTGCCTTCTCTTGGCCAGATAACTGTAGTCTGCTGGTTTTTCTGGTCTCTATTCCTCTCTTTTAGAACACGTCTTCCTGACTTTTTAACGTTTCCTTCATTCTCTGCTATTCTCCCTCTGCACCTCATCTCTGGATAACCTCACAAATAGAAAATGTAACAATTAGTTGATGTTGATGAGTAACTGACCTATCTCTGAACATCCGAACACAAGTCAACATCTTTGTCACTGACATGAACAGTGGGATTGAGCTTGCCCTCAGCAAGTTTGCCGATGACCCCAAGCTGTGTGGTTCGGTTGATACCCTGGAGGGAAGGGATGCCATCCAGAGGGACCTCGACACACTTGTGAGGTGGGCTGATGCCAACCTCATGGAGTTTAACCATGCCAAGGGCAAGGTCCTACACCTGGGTCAGAGCAATCCCAGGCACAGCTACAGGTTGGGCAGAGAAGAGATTCAGAGCAGCCCTGCAGAGAAGGACTTGGGGGTGTTGGTCGATGAGAAAATGAACATGAGCCAGCTTCAGTGTGCGCTCACAGCCCAGAAAGCAACCGTATCCTGGGCTGCATCAAAAGGAGCGTGACCAGCAGGTCGAAGGAGGTGATCCTGCCCCTCTACTCTGCCCTTGTGAGACCTCACTTGGAGTATTGTGTGCAGTTCTGGTGTCCTCAACATAAAAAGGACATGGAACTGTTGGAACAAGTCCAGAGGAGGCCACGAGGATGATCAGGGACTGGAGCACCTCCTGTATGAAGACAGGCTGAGGAAGTTGGGGCTGTTCAGCCTGGAGAAGAGAAGGCTGCGTGGAGACCTCATAGCAGCTTCCAGTATCTGAAGGGGGCCTATAGGGATGCTGGGGAGGGACTCTTCATTAGGGACTGTAGTGACAGGACAAGGGGTAACGGGTTCAAACTTAAACAGGGGAAGTTTAGATTGGATATAAGGAAGAAGTTCTTTACTGGGAGGGTTGTGATGCACTGGAATGGGTTGCCCAGGGAGGTTGTGAATGCTCCATCCCTGGCAGTGTTCAAGGCCAGGTGGGATGAAGCCTTTGGTGACATGGTTTAGTGTGAGGTGTCCCTGCCCATAGCAGGGGGTTGGAACTGGATGATCTTAAGGTCCTTTCCAACCCTAACTATTCTATGATTCTAAGTTATCTCCCATACTTCTATCCTGAACAACCACCTTCGTATTTTCGGTTGCTGACATTTGGCTCCTGATTCCCTGGAAAGAGCCACGCGAGCTGATCTTGGCCTTTCAGTTTCCAGTAAACTGCAAAAGCACTTGAACATGTGCATGAGCAGAGCAACAGGGGGGAAGTGAGCTGGGTCAGTGCTCCGAGGTGCTCATTAGAAAAGGAAAACCTGCCATCTGGCAGTGACATTACTGTGGGCCCAGGCAAAGCACCAGTGCTTTCAATTTGGAATTAAATAACTTTCTAAGAGGTGTGAAAGTGGGGAGCAAAAAGAGCTTTGTTCTCATAAACCTCAAAGGGAAATAGCTTGGATTAAGTTGACACTCCAACAGGTGGTTCTTTTCTTTATTTTTAACCACTTCATCTGTGTCTGCTTTGAAGGTCAGCCAGCTTCACATCAGCTTTTCATGGGAAGCTGAGGGTCTGTCAGATTCTCTGCTCGCAATATTCCTGATCAACTATGCAGTTAGGAAGTAATCAGTAGTTTAATCTTCCTGGGTAACAGTTTGTGGCCCATCTTGTTGGGATAAGTCTTTCTATATAAATATATATATATAATTGTTTGAAAAATTTGCTATAATGACCACATTCCCTCTCATGCAATGGTGCTCTGGGCTGGGGGGTAATCAAGCCACCCAAAAGCACACTCACACCTGTATTTCTAGAGCCTCACACTGCTACTTGCAAGCATTTGTGTGCTGTGCCTTGTCAATACCAAGGGGTGTTATTGCCAAAGGGTGACTCTGAATCGCAGTTTTGAGGGTAACTTGATAGTCCATGAGCGATTTCTCATGGCAAGGATGTAAGGTGGTGGAAGTGGCCAGAAAGCTAGAAAACAGGCACAGCTGGGGTCTGCTCTGCACCTGAGCTCTGAACCAGGATGGGGAAGGCAGGAGAGGGCAAGCTTGTGTCAGCTGGTTCCATAGTTTGATTTAGACTAACTGCTTTTTGGTTTGTTTTCCTTCTTCTCTCGCCATCCTTTAGATTATCTCAGTACCTATTGGGGGGTGAGTGTCTTACTGCATGCCAGTAAGGACACTGAAGAAGTGTATGCAGTGTTGTCAGGAAGAAACCTTCTTTCTACAGGGGTATTTTAGAGCTTATTTGGCTGCAAGAACTAAGGTGCTTGTAGCAGTAAATCGGAACCGAACACTACCGGTTAGGAGCAGCTGACGTCCTGTGATGCCTTGAGGATCCTGCAAAGCAGTGTTCTCGCCCAGCCACTGAGCTGCTTGGGTCAGTTCCTCCTCTTACCCTGTATTTTCCTTTGTGAACGCAGGATGGCGGCACATGCTTTAGGCATTAGAATAATTTTTCTTTCCGGTTGCTTGTAAGAGATAGAAGAAATATTTATTCCCCCGTGCCACAAACCCCATGTCATCTCACATTCCTGTCCTTTACAAAACTGAAATCCATTCCCTACTCTTCCCCTTTAATTCAGTTCTGCCGTTATTCCCAATATTGAATTTTCTCCTGGTGTTGTGTACTACTGCTTTGAATTATAATGTGTTTTGTGCAAGATGGTGCAGAGACAACACAGGTTTGGGGATTCTACTGCTAGGTAAATCTGCAGGGGATAAACTGTTGCTATGAATGCTTGGAGGAGGATTTGGAATGTCTCAAGCTGGCTTGGATAAGCAGCTTCAGCTGAGCTGGTGTTGAAGGGTCCTTATGAATTCCTCTTTTCCTTATGTTTCCTCTACTTACAGGGGTCATGTGGGTGGCAACAGTCTTTTTCCTTCAGAGATACCGTCTGTTCTCTCGGTCAGATGAGTTTAGGGAAGGTGACTCTTTCCGATGTTAGAGGCTCACAGGAGCTGGTAAAATACATCATCTTCCTATGGTGTCCCACGGCTGCCCTCTGGTGCTGGTGGGGCTCTTGTTACGGCTTTCTGGTTGCCGTAAAGCGGATTTGCACACAGATTCGGTAACCTTGAGTTATTGTGCGCTTTGTTTCACGTTGTTTATCTTTTGCCATTACTGCATTTGAGAGCATGATCTGGGACCAGACTTAAATTAACACCCCCTAATACTGACATCAGTTTGTTATAACAGATGTTTTCACCCTGAAAGGTGATTTCTTACAACTGTACTTGTGTTCTTCACTAAATGCTATGCAGTTTCGACCTTGATGCACCATCTGATTTGACTGCTCTTGTTATCCTTGTACACAAGTTTCATCTGTAACACAATGAGAACTTCACACAGGAAAAACACAAGAAATGGCTCTTTTTTTTTCCTATTTTTGCAGCACCCAAACCCATCCATGCCTATTCCCTTGTTTGAACAATGGGTTTGGTCCGGCAAGGCAAGCAAACAATTTTATGTAATCTAGGAGCATCTTGTATTCACTCTTTCAAGCTTTCTGGAAGGTGGTGTGTGCTGTATGTAGGAGATGCAAAAAGGAGCTGCTGTCTGGAACATAGATGGCTTAAATTATCAATTAGTCTGTAACTAACAAGTGATTACAGGGAAAACTGTGTGAAACCTGCTATTCCCTCAGGCCCTTGCTATCTTTACTAGCTTGCTTAGTCTCTTGGTTAACTTGAGCAGTACCGGACTGCACTCCAAACATGTGCCTGCACTGCCTTCAGGAAAGCCAAAGATCACTTAAAGAAGATACAAATGCACAAGCCAGATGTGGAGCTAGAAATGAAGATGGCTGAGAGAGGCAAAAGAGTGTCAAATTCAAAGCTTAGAAGTGTGAGCATTTTCTCACTGAATGCGTGTATGGACCTAACTATATGCATGAAGAATGCCTTCTAACACAAGTGTGGGGAAATAAACTACTACTGGATTTAAAACATGTTAACTAATTAATTGTTAATGTTAATGAAGGGGAAGTTTGTGGATGTCTTCCGTGAGTTAGGGAAGCTCAAAGTGATGCACGGGACTGATGTGTCTTGGGCAGCTTTTCATGTGCAAAGGCAGAGAGTTAAAGAGAAGAAAAGCACATCTTACCGAAGCACCAGAGGAGAACTGACCAGGTAGGTGCAAGCATTTGTCATAGGAGAATGCTGTCCTTGTGCACAGATCCCAAGTAATTAGATGTGTAAAACTGAGCAGAATTCTTTACCACCTTTAAGGGTTAGACTTTTACAAAGGTTTACTTAAAAATGTGACAGGCCAGCAGAGTTCTGGGAACTATCCTTTGGGGGAGGCAGGGGGAAAAGCAGGAATTTGTGTGTTCTGCACTGTCTTTGGGAGAGGCAGCCCAAGTCCTGAGCACCCAAGGATGTTGGAAGCCAGTCTTAGCGAAGTGCTTTCAGCCCTGAAGAGGTTAATTGAAGAGGCCCTCGCCCTAATGACAGTAAGGGCAGTACTACAAGTCATGCCCAGACGTTTCCTGTGGAGTGTATTGACACAGGGTTCCTGCAGCGGGGTGGTGGGAGAGGAGAAAGTCGCCTGTGCGTTCTGGGAATTAAGACAGACAAAGCATCAGTGCTCCATGTAGCCTTGGCCGCCTTCCAGGTCTCATCGGTGGGAAAGAAGTATTAATTGAACTCTGCCAAAAGCTTCTTATTGGCATTGCTAAAAGGGGTCTCAGAAACAGTCGGCCTAATTTCTAAGGCTCAATGTTAATTTTTTACCCAACTGTGTAATCTGCAAATGGAATACCACAATGCACACCATTTAGGCAACACGAGCTTATGTGATTTGCAGTAAAGCACAAGACATCCCTGAAAATACATATTTCTCCAAATCTAGGGTTGGTGCACACCTCATCTGAAAACTGCAGCACATAGCTGGGGGGGGGTGGTGAAATCAGAACCTGATCTGTATTCAAACAGTACCAGTGACATTATGACTTGTCACCTTGCTGGGCAGAAAGCAGAAAGCAAGCCTTGGAAACAGGGGCAGGGTGTGAGGAAGGAGCACCCTGAGTGCTGCAGGGATCTCGGACAGCTGCAAGGAGAATGCAGTTTGTTTGGGAGTGGGGGTGTCAAGTCACTCATCTACCCATGTCTGGTCATCAGAGCTCCCCTAACAGGTCCAGGATGGGGAGGAGTTCACAGTTAGGATGGAGGCACAGCAAACAGGCTCAAGCAAATCTCTAGAACATTGCATTTTGCAGGGACTGGTGTCAGTGCTGATGCTCAGGGAGAGCTCCGGTGGGGAGCAAAGCCTGGGCGCTGAGGGGCTGCAGAGCAGCTCAGACAGTGATGAATATCTGCCTTCCACAGCACTGCGTAAGCTCTGCGGAGCACCCACTGCACGGAGTCTGAGGCTTCAGTCAGTGTGATGGGGAGGCGGGTTGAAGTGTAAACCTGTAGTAACGACAGGTCAGTGATGCTCTGCTCAACAGAAAGCTGTGGAGGGATCTTGTTGTCTTGGGCCTTTATTTATGCCTAATAATTCCAATATTTAGGAATTATTGTATATGTGCGTGTAGTGGTGAGCAGACAGTTGCCTGATGCTGTTATCCAATATCACTGTATGGGGCTGGGGGGGCTACAAGAGCAAGTTGCACTAGCAATGGTGTGTTTATTCTTCCTGACTTCTTACAGCAGCACACAGCCGTTTCTGTAGAAGAAAACAGGATGGGCTGGTGGTGTGGGTCCTGTTTGGACTGGGAAGCTCTGGTGTAGGAGCTGATGACATCGGTGACTCTGGACATTTTCTCTGTAGTGCCTGTGAGAATTTCAATGCTTTATGTTGTTTTTCATTCCTATCTGTTCTACATCACCTCTGCCTTCTGCCCCTTTGTCTGCTCTCTAACTAGCTCTCTCCTTCCCTCTAGTTATTACAAGTTTTCTTTTGCTTTACCTCTTTTTATTTGCCCAAGCCCATGTCTGTGTTCATGTCTCTCTCTCAAATGTATGCACATCTCCTTTACATCTCTGTTCCTTGCACCTTCTGTTCCCTTGGGGTCATGGGATGACTTCAAGCTCTACCTCCTCTACTTTTTAGTTAGATAGAAGCATTCAAGCCATCTAACCAACTCATATTAGCTGATCCCCCCCTCAGTGCTGATTCTCCTAGTGCACGGTAATATATTTAACTGGGTAAAATCAAGCTAACGGGTTAAGCTGAGGAGATGCTTTTGAGAAGCACCAATTGCCAGACAATACCCAGGTGTATTTCCAAGGGCTGCAAAGCCAGTACTAGGGCTGATTTTATCTTCAAAAGTGGCATAAGACTCTGAGCAGGACCTGCTTAAGAGCGGGTGATGACACCTCTTGCCTGCAATGTGGCAAAGTGCATAAATGCAGGCTGCTAATGCAGGCTGCTAATGAGCAGGGTCCCCTTCCAGATGACGGACAGAAAAGTGTTGGGCTGATGCCCATACCTGATCCTGTCTCACCAGTCCTGCAGGGAGTATTGTCTGCCCACTGATACCAGCCAGCATCACCACTGTGGTTATGTCCCCCTGCTTGCTGTCCTGCCTTTGGATCAGAGGTAAGCAGCCAGCACTCAGCTGCTGTCTATGCAAACCTCCTTTTTGGGTGGATCATATTCTTATGGTTCATGGAAGCTGAAAGAAAAAGATGTCTCATGTTTTAGAGTCTTTCTGTGAGTGGGATACTTTTGGTTTTGTTTGTCATGATGTCTAATGAGCCCTCCCAGGGACTCTTAAGAGAACAGGGGAAGGCACATGGGAGTGTGCTTAAGAATGGTGTGGCATCCTATACCAGACAGATATCCCCCCCCTCAGTTCTCACCTGAAATGTGAACACAGAGCTTCAAAGACCAAAGAGAAATAATGGCATTGCCTATAAACAAAATTCTTGGTAGTCTGAAGTAATTGCACAGCTGTTGTGTCAAGCTCTTACAGGAAATCGTATGTGTCAGCAGTGGTTTAGCATCCTGTGGCCAGGCGCATTGATGGTTATGGTAGGATCACCTGGGTATTCACAGCCAAAAAAGAGGGGGAAAGACAATGCTGCTGACATTCAGGCTGTGGAAGCACTTGTGCAGGAAGCCCCTGTGCTGGTGCAGGCAGTGGTTTGCTGCTTCAGGTGTCCAAACTGCAGGAGTTTGCAGACTCCGGACATTAAGCCTTGTTTTGCTGTACAATTGTACCTTGTACAATTCGGTGTCTGGGGGGGGTGTGTTGCTCTTGTAGGAAAAACTATCTGCCTTCTATGGCCAGGGGAAAGCACCCTGTACAAACAGCTCCAGCTCTAGTGCTATAGTATGTGGGGAGCAGGCTTCTTGGCATGACCCCTGAGCTAGGGCTCACTTCTTCCAGGTCTGTAATAGCTTGGGGCCAGCTCTCTTAAGGCTGACTTCCCCCCTCCCTCTTTGATTGTGGGGGAATGGCTTCAGAGGTCTCTGAAGGGTGTTGTGTTTGGGGTCAGCATCAGTCCTGCCTGTGTCCTGTATCACTGCTCTGAGCTGAAGCCACGATGAAGGTGTGCTCGCTCAGGAACGGTATGCAGTGCACCTGATGGGTTTTCTGTATATATCTAAATAAGAAGTATAAATGACAGTCCTTCAGACAATGGAGAAAACCCAGACTGACTCCCAAGGGAGATTAGTTTCCCTGTCAGCAATCTGTCCTGCCTCTTCCTCTGTTGATCAGTGTACCTATAAAAGACAACTTCAACATTATAACTTCAATATTAGGGACTACAGCAGAGAAGACTGAGACTATTTCTGCATGATTCTTCAAAGTATACACCCCTGAAAATAAAGCATCCTTTGCTCTTTTGCCCTACATCTTCATACAAAAGCTTGCTCCTTCCATTAGGAAACAGTGTTTTAAGTGATGTATGGCTATGTTGGCCACACAGTGAGAGGAGACCAAGAATTTGCAGATCCTAAAGTGAAGGGTTTTCATATTGGAGGAGGTTTTACTTTTAAAAAGATCAAGCTTAAAACTAATCCTTGTTTCCCTTGTGTGTTTGGCATCAGTTTCTTTTAAAAGTAATAATAATAACATATTTAAATAATGACCTTTCCCCTTTGCCAGCTTTCTCTGCTATCCTGAAGTTAGCTTAAAAAGAGTTGCTATGGTAATTCAAACTAGCCAGGCCATACGCATAGGATTAAAGTTTGACTGTGAATCAAGAAACAAAAGGAACTGGATGAGGAGCCTCTTTATCTGAATACACATCTTCAGCACTGATCACATGCAGTCAAAATTCCTTCCCTGATTTCCTGCTGGAGACAAGGCTGCAAGCCTGGCTGCAGTAAAGAGCAGCTAACGCAAACCTATTTTTTTGTTGTTGCTATGGTGCTGGGAATAAACAGCCTTTTTTAGGACAGTCTCTAAAATGCCAGTGGAGCTCGCTAGCTAACACACATTCAACTTGTGAATTGTCTGCACCCCTTTGTGTTTTAATTATCCTGTGTTTCCTTAGTTAAAACATTGTTTTCCATATGGGGATGGAGCTTCCTTCCTCATTGGCTTTTCATGCTCCCAGTGTGAATCAGAAACCTGCTCTCTACCACCAGCTTTTTTCCCTGAGAAACTAAGAGGCTACCTGGCAATCCCTGTGATCACTTGTGTTTAGCCAGTTGCTTCTTGAGCTCTGAACGTGTGAAATGCCGTGACACGGAGCCTCATATGTCAGAAGTGACTGGAGAGAGGAGCCCTTTGGAAGAATTCTTTTCCTTAGTGTTGTTAAATAACTGAGATGAGAGGGCTTTTCCCATGGGGTGAGGTCACATTCAGACCGTGCTGTCCTGTGCAGAGCAAGATGTGACCTTGGGCTGCATGATCTTAACTCTATTTGATAAGCACCTCACAGTTCTGGCTTAGTGTGCTCTAAAGCTGAGATGTGCACCTGTACAATATGTTCTTTCACTTCAGACTCTGCAAGAAAAAGGAGTAAATTTGATCTGTGCTCATTGCATAGAGCCCTTAGGTTTCTTTCTGTAGCAGCCAAAGACAAAGCCAGTAAAAATATATCCTGTTCTAGCCATTGGTCTGCGCTTGCTCCAGCTGCAACTGTATGCTTAGCCTTGCCAGGTGAAATTTTACTGCTAGAGCTTGGGCTATGTAAATGTGCTGGGTTTCTGAGGAACTGCTTTAAATCTCCTGTGTTACCCATCTCCCACTGGTGAAATATTTAGCAGAATAGCAAGGGAAAGAGCAGCCCAGAAGAGAGATGTGAAAACCCAACCAGCATCGGCTGCTGGAAACCTGTTTGCTTGTGAGCCCCACGTGGTGTTTGCTGAGATTTCCTGTTTGAAGCTAGAGATGACTGTTGTGGTGATCACTGTTAACAGATAAAGATTGTTTTTAATGGGGAGGTGATATAGCTACGGAAGCACTGCATGAGTTGGGGTGATTGAACTGTTGGTATATAGACTGTTGCTTCTGTAAAAGCATGTGAAAGCATTGAGCACACCGTTTAAGAGCAGAGGCCATGACCTTCTTTTCTGTAAGGCATCCAGAGAACACCTTCATCTGAGACTGGGAAAAGAGCGGTTAGGAGTCCCAAACAATCTCCTGTCAGGATGCAACTCTTGCTTTGGATTCTCCCTAAATACAGACAGAAAGATACAGAAATAAAGGCCCTCCTTCTGAGATATCCTACACATAAGTCACTCTTGAACCAAAGGGTAATTCAGCTGTAGCTGTGAGCTCCACACACCACAAACTTCTGTGTGTGATCAGGAGCTTGTTCCATACATCTGCTGCATAGATTTGCTTGTAGCATTTCCTTTTCTACTGAGATGTCCTTTCTGTACCGTGACACTTCAGTACCTTCCTGTAGGTACTGCCTGTGTCTGTACTGCAGCACGTTGTCCCAGTGCTGGGGCCAGGCGCTGGTCTCCCTGAAATCCCTGCCAATTCTAAGCTGCAGCTCAAGTGACTTGGCACCCATTTGTCTCAATGACCTCTGGTATCCTCCACCTCTGTGCACACCCCAGATACTTATATTTATCTTTGCCTGATTAGGGGTCCTCTGCTGAAGAGTTTCGTGCAGATGTTTCTTTATTTAACCCACACTTTATTGAAAGGAAGGAAAGGACAGGCACACGCAGAGGAAGGAGGTGTGTTTCACAGCATCGCTTACTCTGAAGTGCTGCCGATGCCAGGAAAACGCGCACATTGCTCTTAATTCTTTGTCTCATTTGTTCTTCCCTCCTGCTCCCCCCCTTCCCAAAACCACCAACAGGAATTCCCTGCTTCCTTACGTACTAATTAAATCTTTCTGCCTACAATAAACTAAGAAGGTCTATCAATGAAGTAGTATGTGGTCAAATGATGGTTGGAACCGCTCGGCAGGAAATTTGGTAGGAAAATACTACCTCAGCAGCTTAGCAGGCTTATTTTTAGGGCCCGTGAGCTTGTTTAACTCTGAGATGCAAACTGCCAGGTTTCTATTGTTGTCAAATGGCTCGTGTCCCACCAGGCTGAGTCAAACCAGTGACTCATGGGCAAGGAGGAATCGCTTTGGCAGTGGGTTGTGATTTTCTTTCCTCCTCCAGCCTGAGATGTGAAAAATGATAAAGCTTGCTTGCAAAACTAATTTCTAGCTTGTTCTGGTTGGAAAAAAAAAGGAATACAGAGTTTGTAATAAAAAAAAAAAAAAAAAAATTGCAAAATTGTTTGCAAAGCACCTGATGTTGCATTTGGCATGGGCAGGCCCTGCTCATGCTCTGGGCTGGCATCATGTAAGCTAAGCCCTGAATGAGAGCAACAGGGACATGTTAGCTCAGCGCTGTTCCTTGGCTAGCAATCCCTGCCAAGAGCTGGGATTTATTAAACGTGGAGCACAGCGCTGTACTGAGGCAGGGACAGGGATTTCAGGTGTGAGCTGGCTGGCATTTAGCCAGCTTGGCAAGTGAATGCAAATCCTGTGGAAGGTTCGAGTCCATATGTTGTTTAGGAAAATTCATGCTCTAATTCCAGTACACAGCCTCGCTTGTCCCCCTCAGCCTTCCTCTCATATCCTTACCCTCCTCTGTAGTACAAGCTACTACTTCTAGAAGTCATTAAATCAGTTCCTTGAGATACATACAGGGTTCTCTTGGACTCCTTGCTGTGCTTGCTGCTTACCCTTCTGGCCTTTAAAGCATTGTGTGCAGTTGGATGCTGGCTGGAATACAGTGAGGGCATGCTTTCAGGCCATCACCTATAGAGATGAGAACCTCACAGCTTCTCTGGTGGGTTTTGCCTTACCACATGCTCTGGAGCAGGTCAGAGGTTTTGTGCCTTGCATCAGGGCAGTACAGGGTGTGCATCACTTAGAGCCCTCCTGTATCTCACACCCAGGTTTGTGGTAAGGCCTATGTCAGTCTGTGTTAGCAGAGCTGGAAGGCAGAGAGCCACAACCCCAGGGAGGGTTGTTTCTTCAGGCTTATAGCATCTTGCAAGTCCCCTCGGAAGGACCCAGGTTTATGACCCTTGTTTCTGTTTATCCCAGTCACCAAGAGGTGTTTGGATCGAATGACCTGTCACCTTGCCCAGCAGGCATGTCGTCCAGAGCACTGGTTCCCCT